ATGCTGGGAATCGAACCCAAGGCAAATGCCTTACCCACTATGCTATCACTCTAGCCCCGAGGCAAGCATGTATTGAAGGCGAAGAAAATAACACATTAGGATGACTGTCATGTTTTCCTTAAGTCCTAAGGTTCCTGAACAGTTTTCCGTTTCCCATCTTTTAATGCTTTCTAATAACGGACCTATATATTTTGTCTAGAAATGTGTGTGGGATTAGTGGGAAGAATAAAATTGATTAAGTTTACTCCATCTTGCCTGGAACTAGAACTGGAAAGCTCCCTACCTGCTGTACTGTCTCCCCGGCACCTACAAGAACTCAATTTTTAATGACATTTTATTCTTTCCAGATGAAGTGGTGATTAGAAGGGATCCAAAGACAGGAGTACACATTGGTGAGTAGATGGCAGATCAGTGTATGCCAGAGAATTTCCTTTGCTGATGTGGAGGCCTCAGACAGAATGGAGACTGAAGGAATGTCTATTTGTATTTCTTCTCAAATTAATAAGAAAAATACAGTACAGGGAAAGGAGCTTGCATTACATGCAGTCAACCAGGACTCAATCCATGGCATCCCATGTGGTTCCCTGAGACCCGTGGGGAGAAATTCCTGAATGCAGATCCAGGAGTAACTCCTGAGCATTGCCAGGTATGGCCCAAAGCTAAACAAAACAAGACAAAACAAAACAACAACAACAACAAAACGTGGGGGAGATTTTCTGAGAATGTACAATAAGCACAACCATTGATCCCACACAATGTGAGATTTTTTTTTTTACATATTCTTTCATGATTCAAAGGAAAAAAATCTATTATGGAAGCACAGGAACAGTATAAAGTAAATGTGACCTAGTGAGATTCTCAGGGAATAAAAAAATAAAATATTTTAAGGATGGCTGGGTAAGGCATTCGCCTTGCATGTGGCTGGCCCTGGTTTGATGTCCAGCACCACATATGGTCTCCTGAGCATCACCAAGAGTGATCCTTGAGTAAGCCATGAACACTTCCAGGTGTGGCCCCAATAAATAAAAAGATTGACTATTATAAGGGAGATACAAGCCTACTGAAGAACTCAGGAAGACTCAATGGAGATAGTGAATGAACCACCTGGAGAATTCTGAATCATATATTTGAATGAAAAGCAGTGGGAAGATGAAACAGATTAATTTCTTGCAAAAGAATAGACAGTCAGGAAAAGGGACTAGTGGAAAGGGAGAAGCTCATTGCAGGAAGAATTTAAATGACTGTTGTACAGTGCAGGATCATGACATAACTTTTCCATGGCTGTGCTCTTAATTTATAATTAAATATTATGGTGTTTTGGCCTGGCCCATTTTGATGCCAGGGTAGCTCACAGCTTGCCCTGGGTCCATTCAGTCCCTTGTCAGGACCCTGCTTTTGGGGTGCTAGGAAGTAAGGGCAACTGAGGCTTAAGTCGAGAAAACAGATGCCCAGGAGTGAATATTATTCAAAGTCAGTTAACTCCTAAGTTGCAAAAGCATAGCATTAACTGTCTTCCTTGTCTATACAAAAAGGACATTGCTCTGAGTTAACTATACAAAGGACATAAGGAAAAGAGAAAAGCAATATTTACACGTTAATAGAGTCTGATTAGGAGATCAAGGTGATTAATTGGTTGGGGAAGCAGAGCACAAAGAAAGAGGTTACAGAGAAAAGCAGAGGGATGGGAGTACCTCAGGAGCACTGTGAGGGGTGCAACCCAATAAACCTAATCTCCCCATGGCAAGGCAGAAAGGACAAACCAGTTATCCTACAACTTTTATGACACAACTATGGGAGAAGGAAGTGATGGAAATAAAAATCAGTGGGGTGAGATTAATAAGGCATTCTGTGCCCACATGGATGGGCATGAACCCCTTGCTCTGAGAGGGGGAATGATGTGCTCAGGTACTTGTGCTGGACCCGCATGTAGCTGACAGTGGTTCAGCCCCTGACACCCATATGATCTCCCAAGGAGTCTCATCAGGAGCAATTATAGAGCATAGAATAGGAGCAAAACCTGAACAACACGATTTGAGACCCCAAATAAACCAAAACTGGAAATACAAAATCACTGTCACGTCACTGTCCCCCCCCCCCCCCCATTGTTTATCGATTTGCTCAAGTGGGCCTGGTAACATCTTCTTTTTGAGACTTGTTGTTACTGTGTTTGGCATATTGAATATATCACGGGGAGCTTGCCAGGCTTTGCCATGTGGGCGGGATATTCTTGGTAGTTGCCGGGTTCTCCGAGAGGGGCACAGAAATTGCACCCAGGTCAGCCGCATTTGCCTTGCATGCGAAGGAGGTAGACGTTCATGAGATCACAGGCTGACTTTGCTGAGCACAGAAACTCTGGAGAGTTTTTGTGATATTTCATATCCTTTCCCAATTTATGATTCTCTATTTTAATAATCCAATCAACTACTTTGGCTGGACCTATAGCACAGTAGGTAGGGCGTTTGCCTTGCACGTGGCCAAACTGGGTTCAATTCCTCCACCCCTCTCAGGGAGCCCGGTAAGCTACCGAGAGTATCCCACCCGCATGGCAAAGCCTGGCAAGCTCCCCGTGAGGTATTTGATATGCCAAACACAGTAACAACAAGTCTCACAATGGATATGTTACTGGTACCTGCTCGAGAAATACAAAATCAAAAAATATAAATTACCAGTTAATCTCCTAAATTTCTCCACTAAATATGACTTTCTCCACTTTCAATTGTAAAGGCTTAAGTTACTTATTTCCAATAGTAGACTTACATCACCATTATTGTTTTTGGCTGACAAACAGAGTATTTATTACTGAATGCCAGGCAGAAAAATAACTTGCATCATGTGCTATGATTTTACTCATGAAGTCTTTGCATAAGTTTGATATTATATGATGAACAGGCTGATCCCATACTTGTTTTACTGCCCTAGAAAGCCACATTTATTCATAATGTCACCCTATTGAGCATTTAAAAAAATCTATATCAAGTTATTTAAATTAAAAAAAATTCAGTTGTATTTAATCAATAGCGAAGCAAGGAAACACCTGAAGCAATCTAGTTTATATTTATATACTTTTTTTTTAAATTTGAAAATTTGAAATGTTTTTGAAATTCTAGAGCTATGTGTATATAGATATGTGTGTATTTATATACATAGACATTCTGGTGAATAGCAAATAGTAAAGCTTGCAGGTATCATTAAAGTACTTAAACTCTGGCTATTGTTCAGTGTGTAACCACACAAGTCAACATTTATCTTTACAAAAAGAGGTATATTAATAAAAATCATAATCATACAGCTAGTTCTATGTTTCACATACTAATGCTTATTCTATGCAACTAGCTTTTATAAATTCTGTAGATTTCAGTCTAACTGACCTGTGCAGTTTATTTTCTTGCAAATAAAATAGTCGTTTCTCAAAGCAGAGACTTCTAAATCCAGACAAGATGGAGTAAACATGATCGATTATACTCTTCCCTCTAGTGACACACACATTTCTAGACAAAATATACAAGTAATTTAGTAGCAAACACTAAAAAGTGGGGAAAGGAGACTGGCCAGGAGCCTCGGGACTTACAGAACACATGGCAGTGAGCCCAGTGGGTTATTTCCTTGCCTTCGATATATCCCTACTTGGGAGCTCAAGGAACCCTTCACGCACCTGAAAAGGATATGCACGAAAAAGTGGAAGAACTAGGGAAAAGGTAGCTAACCAGGTAAAAAAAAAAAAAAAACTATTGGCCACGCCTTCCTCTGGGCTCAGCTCTATAAGTCCATAACCTTAGTATATAGAATGAGTGGCTATTGTGCAGAGACCAGGGAGAGACCTCTAACTTCCACTCCCTGTCACCTCTCAAGGTGACAGAAATGCTTATGGACTAGTATGTCATTTTCCTGGTTATAGCATCTTTCTGATTCTTTCTGAACACCTGAACACATATGAACAAATTTGTTAGCACATTTATCTATGTTATATTTGGTATGAAAGCTTCGCTAGGGAGTACTTTAAAATATCTAAAAATCACACACGGGCATTTCTTACACTATGAATAACAATAATAAAATCTGGGGGCTTTACCATGCCTTTTATCTAAGGATTATAAGTGACATATAATTTTTAAAAATTAACATTTTGAATATGAGACTGACACCCAAGGACAGTAGACACAAGGGCCAGGAATGTTGTCCCATAGTTGGAAGTCTCATGAGCTGGGGGGAAAGGTGGTTGGGATAGAGAAGGGATCACTAAGACAATGATGGTTGGAGGAATTGTTCGAGATGGGAGATGAAAGTAGTTAAAGTACCAAACTTTATGGTGCTGAAAGTAGATAAAGGACCAAACGTAATGGACTCTCAGTATCTATATAGCAAACCATAATGCCCAAAAGTAGATAGAGAGTATGGGGGAAATCATCTGCCATAGAGGCAGAGGGAGGTTATACTGGGAACACTGGTGATGGAGATGCACTGGTGGAGGGATGGGTACTTGATCACTGTATGACTGAAACTCAAATATGAAAGCTTTGTAACTGTATCTCACAGTAATTCAATTTAAAAAAATGATTTTTTTAAATTTAAAATGGCACAAATAAATGAGAGCAGCCTCAGACTTCAGTGGACATTTTTCTTAGGGTCAGAGTCATAAACGAGTTCGAACTTGTGCTGTTCATGGAGTATCTTTCCCTTCACTGTCAAATGAGACCAAGTTTTCAGCTAAACGTCTGTCTAAATGCCATTCCATTGAGTGAGTTACCATCTATTTCTCAGAGGCACGGCTGCCATAAACCATCAGCATCGCATCCCACTATAAGCAACACACTCAGCTTACTTCCTCTCTTCCAATTTAATTTCCGCTCAGGCACTTTTGGTGTGTTCCACAACCTACAGTTTCGGAATGGTATTCCAGATGCCAGGGTTCACTTCTTACCATGCAGCTTTTTCTCGAGCACCTTGGATACAAACTTCCCTTAAAAAAAATAATGGCATGAGTGGCCTCTGCCATCACTTACTTTCTTCTTTCGGTTTCAAATCTGTGGAGAAGCTTCCGAAGACCCCCATTCTTAAATCCCTGAACATGGGCAGCTGGCGCGCCCACGGTGATCACGTCGTAGAGAGCATCTGGAACAGGGATGGACAAGGAGAGAACGTTTGCTAACGCCGACTTCCAGCATGCTGTTTTGCACTGAAGCGTGCACATGGTGAGAAGTTTGAGAAATTATTCTTTATAATTTTGTAAGAATCACCACGAACTCGCCTCTCAAGGGGGCAAGAGGAACTAATCAATCTTTCTAAAAGCCACCTGTGCACCTAAACAAGTTATAATATTTCTGTGATTTATGACTACATCTTAATTATAAACTACTGTGTAGAACAGTATGTTCTCCTATTCTTCTCGATACTTACTGAAATAACATGTTAATTGGTCTTTTGTGTATTTTACTTTATTGAGTTTTGCATCATTTAATTTGCAATCATATCAGAACTCAACAATAATGAACAATCTTTCAACCAAAATTTACGGAGAAAAGAGCCAAATTGTTCATGCATTTTGGCTCAAGGGCAAAATTGTACTAGTGCATTAAAAAAATCTATACCAACTAGTTTCCTGTCTGCGTATGCTAAATCTTATACAATTTGCAATGCATACTTTGAAATTTTTTTAGGTAACACAGAAATAATACACAAGATGTCTCAATGTATTTCCCAGAAAGATATTTTTTAAATAAAAATCCATACATTTAAATTTAGATTCAATCCTTTGATCTAGAAAGCCATAAAATTTGATATATATTAAGTTTATAGCTTTAAAACATGCCATCTATTTTGCATTCTAATGAAAAGTATTCCCACAAGATGGAAGCAAAGTGAATGCCTTCTTGTAAAACTACATTTTCGTTGAGGAACCTAATTTCATAGTAGATCCTTTTCAAATTGATTTTGGTATTGACACATTGGTTGTTTCTCAGATACCCATTTACACAGAAAACATAAATTATTTTTTAAGCTTCAGGTAAACACCATAACTTTTTCTTAGTGGCTCAGTCCAAGAAAATTGGAATGTTTTTTTCTTAATATCTTCAAATGAAAGTTTACAGGGGTGCTCAGAGCCTTCAAGGTCACAAAACAAGAACAACAACAAACAGATCCCAAGACAAACCAACCCAATGATAGAATGTAAATAATCTCTGAAGAGGTAATATCCTGCCCTTTAAAAGTGGGGGAAAAAACTTATTCACTGTTGGTGGGAATATTCAGACTCTAGAGAATAGTTCGGAGAATTCTCAAGAATGTAGGAGTCCAGCTTCCATATGACTCAGCAATTCTATTCTCTGGCATCTACCCAAGAGCATGAAAGCAAATTGAAAAGATCTTTTGTTTACCTAGCTTTACACAGTGCTAAGAACAATAGACAGACTATGGAAACCACAGAATATTCAAAGAAAGATGAATGGATTAAGAAGTTGTGGTCTATATACACTCTGGAATTCTATGAAGCTAGCCAATGAAAGCTTGCAGTTTTCTGTAACTGAGCTAGAACTGAAGGGCATCATGGTAAGTGAAATAAGTTTGAGGGAGAATTTCAAATACTGAATAATATCAAATAGTCTCACTAATGAGAGCCCCAACATGGGGACAGTCCCCTGGGTAAAACAAGTTTGGATTGATTTATGGTGGCTATGAAGGTATAGTCGGGAAGGAAATGTCCTGGAAGGGCGTAACAGGAAGTTAGTGTACCTTCAAAGCTACACGTTAAAGATACTTGCTGACTCTTTATCACTGGAATGCATAGCTAGGTAAATATCCCAACCTTTGTTATTACTAATTATGTTAACTCAGGGATGGAGCAGATAGCACAGCCTGGAGGGCATTTGCCTTGCTTGGGGCTGACAGGGTTCTGTTCCCAGCATCCCATATGATCCCCAAGCACCACCAGGAGTAATTCCTATGTGCAGAGCCAGGATAACCCCTGAGCATCACTGGGTGTGATCCAAAAAGCAAAAAAAAAAAAAAAAAGTTAACTCATAAGCAATAGTTCACTTGGTGGGGGCCGTGGAGGCCAGAGAGAAAGGGGTGAACTAAATTAAAAAGCAATCTCATGCTTGGGCTGTTAAGACTTGTTTGTTGTATGGATGTCACTGTTTGTCCCATTCTTTGCAACTAACTTTGCTGGACAGAGTCAAAATATCAATCCTATGCACTCACCAGAAAAAATAAATTCTGCTTTTCAATTCTGCTCAGTGTCTGTAGCTTAAAAAAATGTCTGTATAATAATATGTGCATATCTACCTGTCATCTATTGGCCCATCATAACAATAACAAAGCATGAATCTAAATGATTAGTATCAATTTCAATTCAGCATATAAGAGTGCTTCCAAATCGTCCCTCTTTCTTTATTGTGAGACATGTGGCTTATCACTGTGGTTATTCCCTGGCTGTCAACCCTCACGTTCATGTTTTGCTGGAGCATTTGTATTTTTAAATTTGGTTATCCTATCTAGGAGAGAACACACACACACACACACACACACATACACACACACACACACACAGAAAAGTCAACAAAATATCAAATTCTAAGGTAACAGTGTGATCAGTAATATTCGTTTCTCCTTTTATTTTATCAGTGCTGTGGTGACATGCCTTAAAATAATGTGGATGCACATTCTTTTGGGGTGCAAGATTACTACCATCACCACCACCACCACCACCACTGCAAAAGCATCAAGCATTTATCTCATCTTTTAAAACAGCTTTATTTCACCCTACTTTTAGTCCTTAGAAGGTGTCAGAAGAGTTTTCAGGCTTTCGGTAGTTGGAGACACTTACAAAAACCTAGGTGGAAGATTTCTTTTTCACAGAAAATTTAAGCAAATAAATTAGATCTTCCTGCTCTCTTAAAAATAAACTTGTGGGGGCCAGAGAACTGGCACAGGGGTTAAGGCACATGCCCTGTATGTGGCCAACACAGGTCAATCCCTGGCACCAGCTAACTCCCCAACACCTCAGAGGACAGCCCCAAAGGCTCCTACACCATCAGATGGTGCATCTAATTCCTGCCCCTGGGGCACCAATAGCGCTGCAACCTTCACCCTTGCCCTGAACCTCAGACCTCGCTAACAGAGAACCTTGCAGCCCCACGCTCCTCTCCCAAATCGGTGTCTTGATTTTTAAATATTTTTTCTTCAATATTTTGCATCCTCTAAATTTGCATCCTCGCTTTACGAAATGGCATAGTAGAAACATATTAGGGAGTGAATTTGACCTGTGAAATCTCATCAAGCTAAAGCTACTATGTTGGCTTAAAATTTAATAATAGGTCTGCTTCTTGGTCTTTTTAAAAGCACTTAATAACAGAAATCAGATAATAAGTCCATTTTTTCCCAGAATACCTCTTTAAAATTCCCACAACCAAAGAAAGAGTGATCATGGGGGAAAAAAACGTGGGCGTGCTGGTCTCATTTCAAGAAACAGCTTAGGCAGAATACCTAACTGCAAAATGACCCACAGAGTGACTCTGACATAAATTGGGATTTTAAGGGAAATCTGTTTCAAAATAGTTCAAGCAATTTGGCATGATAATTAAACATATTTAAAGATAATTATACTTCATCGATGAGGTGATAAACCCAAAGATTTGGAGTTAAAGCTAGGGAGCTCTAAAGAGGCTTGCTCGTTTGCTCCTTTGTCTCTATTAGATAGAGATTAAAACAAGGGGCAGAAGTCAACTGACTCATCTGAAGTGACAAAGTGACAGAGTGACAATTCTGGCCCATGTACAACTGATTATGATGTGAAAATGTATGTTACATTTCCTTCTTTCCCTGCTTTCCTTCTTTTTCATCCATCCTGTCTTCTTTCCTTCCTAATAGCTCTTATCCCTTTTTTCCTTCCTTCCACCTCTCTTCTTCATTCCTAGCTTTCTTCTATCATTCTACCATTTTTCTTCCTTCTTTCCTTTCTTTCCTCCCTTCGTTTCTCTTCCTTCCATCTCTTCCTTTCTCCTACGTAAAATGACTTAAGTATAAAAATGATATTGCAAAAATCCATATTCAATAATCAAGCTGATTTTTAATGGAAATATTTTAAATATATTAAAGCAGAAACTTTTCATTTCAAATTTTTGTTTTTATGCCTGCTAACATCTCAGTTATGATGGGTATTTTATTTGTTGCATTCAATTTAAGTAATGAATAAGGATAAAAAATTAACTTAATGGGTCTGGGGGCATTGAAGTTAAATGGAGGCTATTTCGTTTGTCAGTATGAGACATGACAACATTAGTTCTGCTCAGTTACTTGTATCAAGAGCAAGACATTAGCCTTGTACTTGGTGGGTCTGCCTGCTATTGTTTGCAAAGTTGTCTCTCCAAATATAGTAGGCATATTAATCAAATGTGGATAGATGCAATTTACTAATGGTAAGAATAAAAATAAATGTAGACTACATCGAAATAACTCACCAGTAAAATACCAAGACTTGGTCAATCTTTTTGCATCATTACCTTCCAAAATGTCTGTGACTCAGCTAAACATTTAAACCAGTAACCATGAATCGTAAATAAATTTAACTGCAATTTGAAGTCTGCTAAGTGTTATTATATAAGCACAGAGACAACCTGATTAATTACCATCTATAATTTTTAAGTAGTATAAAATTTAATTTCTGATGCCCAAAGAGGTTCTCTGGCTTGGTTAAAATTAAAGAAACAAATGGCAAGACCCCAAACAATTCCTTGGTTTAAATTTTCATTAAAGCATATAATTGGTGGTCTGTCCGAATGTTCTTCAACCCATTAACAACCGTGGCCCCCTTCCTACTGATTGGCCCTGGAGTCTCAGGCCACAGCCCCTCATATTTGTGCTCCTATCTGTGGCCTGTTGGAATATTCCAGATGGACACTAGGACATAAACTTTAATATTAATGTTGAAACATTTTTCATATTATATATGTTATATAACTATACCTACATACTATGCCCATATCGTATATATGATGTACCTATCTATTATGCCTATATAGTATATGTTCTATGCCTAGGACATAACTATCCTTAAGGGGAAAAAAGTATGTAATTTTCAATACTTTTGAGACTATGGGTATATTTATTCCTTTCCCACACCTTCTCCTGATATCTTCAAGTCTTCCTGAAAACTGCTATGTGAAGAATCCTCCTGTTTTAAAACTCTACTCTAGTTCTAACCTCAAAACCTTGAAAGAAATTCTTTTATATATCCTGTTAGGGGGATATTGGACCCCTCAAGAAAAAAATAGTTTACATTTAGAGGAAATACTTCAGGAATCATTGCCAAATATTTGAATACATAATTAAATATAAATTCATATCAATGGCCTAAAATAAACCATCTGGTCTGAGGATGCTGTATCTGTCCATGGCTATAACTCCAGTCATCCTTCTACTCATTTCCTCATTATATCAGTCATTTAGACTGTGAAGCATGTGAAGATTTTTACATAACACCCCTTCAAATCATCTTCTCTAAATCTGGCTACTTCTTTAATTCAAGATTTCATTTTCCTTAATAGGCTTTTAATTGATCGCTTTTCTCCACCGTTAGCAGTCTTGATAAAACTGACAGATTCATTTTGTTCCAGTGATGGAAAATGCCAGTTAACCATAAAAACTGGCTTCTTTCTTGATAGTTTTTATACTTGAATTCACTTAATGAAGAAGATACTGTTTACAAGCATTAAATAACAGGCTTAGGTCAGTTTATATAAAGTTGTAGAAATTTGAATCAATTCTGGGTCTGTTATACTCCAAACTCTATTTTTTATTATATATACTTTATATAACTTTTTCATATTAATTAATAGGGGAAAAGTGTTTACTCTCAAATTAGCTCTTGAATATTTAACTTCTTTATTACTTGCGGGTACTTTGGTTTTGATGAATTTTAAAACCATCACATTATTACATTCAAACTATTGACAGACTTCAGTTTCTAAATGTCTTAGACCAGTCCATTCCATTGTTATTTCAATTCTTTAATTATATCTAATTTCTGGTGCAAAGGATCCAATTTAGAATTGTAGGGTTTTAAATTAAGAGTTACCAAAGACAATAAAAATTACACATCAGGGGCCAGAGTACAGTGGTTAATGTACTTGCCTTGCACGTACATAAGCAGGTTCTATCCCTGGCAAATGGTCCCCCTGAGCTTACCACAAGTGATCTCTGAGCACACAGCCAGGACCTAAGTCCTGAGACAAGCCAAGTCTGCCCCCCAAACCATAAAAATACCATAATAATCTGTAGCTAGGGCTGGAGAGATAGCACAGCGGGTAGGGCGTTCGCCTTACAAGCGGCCAACATGGCCGACCCGAGTTCGATTCCTCCGCCCCTCTCGGAGAGCCCGGCAAGCTACGAGAGTATTCGATATGCCAGACACAGTAACAACAAAGTCTCCAATGGAGACGTTACTGGGCCCGCTTGAGCAAATCGACGATCAAAGGGAGGGCCTTTACCTTTTATCTTTATTTTTTCTCATTATAAACTTTCAAATTTATAAATATATTTATATATTTATAAATATACATTTATTATATAGTATATATTTATAAATATATAAATATATTTATATATTGTATATTGTATATTTTATATATATATATTTATTTTGCTTTTTGGGTCACACCCGGCGATGCACAGTGGTCACTCCTAGCTCTTCACTTAGGAATTACTCCTGGCAGTGCTCTGGGGACCATATGGGATACTGAGACTTGAACCCAGGTCAGCCGAGTGCAAGGCAAACGCCCTACCCATTGTGCTGTTGCTCCAGCCCCTGGCCTGGAGATTTTTTAGAAATACATTCTTTTGAAAAGTTGCAAAGAAACATGTAGAATAGAAAGTAATACAATGTCACACAGTTCACTCTGAATCCTATTAATGTATGCTTATAAATATAAAATCTATGTATTTTATGTTTATGTATGCTTGTATGCATATGTACATGTATGTTTGCATGCTATGTATGCTTATATGGGTGTATACTTATAAAATCTTTGTATTTTCCCTGAAATATGTTTCTCATAACTTAGACCATCCAATTTGTTTTTCTTATGATGGAGAACTACCATCTCTGTCTAATCAACCAATTTCTCACAGGGAACAAGGTGATTCAGTTCACAGTCACATTAAGGCAGAGAAACCAAACAGGATTGTTTGGTTCTGTTTTTCCCTCCAATTCAAAAAGTAACATAATTAGTACACCTTATCTCTGCTATGACCTAGGGAAGTTACTGCCTATTTTTTTTCAATTTTTTTAATTTTTATTTTTTTATTTTATTTTTATTAGTGAAACACCATGGGGTACTGATGTAGATTTACAAACATCCGTGCTTGGGTTTCAGTTACATAATGATCGAGTACCCATCCCTCCAGCAGTGGCCATTCTCTACCACCAGTGATCCCATTAATCCCCCACCCCCAACCCCATCCCCCCTTACTGCCTATATTGTACATTTTCCTGTATCTCAATTCTCGTGCCATACTGACAAACTATTCTTGTCCACAAATACCGAAACAACAACAACAAACAACAAAAATACAGCCACAAAAGTTCCCCTTTATAGTATTTAGGGACATTGTCAGTTTCAATTGTTTTATCTTCCTCTTCAAATAAATAATAATGCTATCTAAAAAAAAAATTCTGCCACAGTCAAACTCGGGGAAATATACACTACCATAATTGACCATTTTTATAAGAAAGCTTTGTAGTTTAAAGTAGTATTGCTGTACACTACCTTTCAAGTGAGGGCTGTGGACTTGCATTCTTTGCAGATGTAGATTGACTGGAACAAATTCTAACGTTTTCTCTCCTTTGCTGCTGCTTGATTTAAAAGAAGACCCTAGGTGGGAAAACATGAACAATAACTATCTGTATATAACATTGAAAAAAAAGTTAATATTAAAGTTACCCAATATCAGAAAGAATCTTAGATCCTGTAGGTGTTGATTGGCTTCTCAGAAATAGAATTTTTAAAAATTTCTCAATTTGGGACCAGAGTGATAGTGACAGCAGGCAGAACGCTTGTTTTGCATACGCAGACCTGGGTTCGATCACAGGCACTTCCTATGGTCCCGTGTCCCTGAGGGAAGAGTCTGCTAAGACCCTGGGGGACAGTCAGCTGCGGCCCACATACAAACAAAGTCTCTATTAGGGAGTGAGGAAGATGGCTCAAAGGGTGGAGCCCAAGAGCCCTGGGTTCAATCCTGAGCACAGGTGGCCAGGTAGGGTCGCTGAGCACTGCTGGGTGTACCCTCATTAAAAAAACAAAAAGAAGAAAAAAAGTAAAAAAAAAACTCAATAATTGCACATGCTAGGGGAAAAGGAAGCTCAGATAGAGGAGGAAGCACCAAGTAAAGGGTATTGGGAGGATCCTCCCAGGACGGGAGATTGAATCTGAAAGTAGATGTTGAAAGTAGACTAGAGACTGAATATGATTGCCACTCAATGCCTCTTTTGCAAACCTCAGCACCCAAAAGGAGAGAGAGAACAAAAGGGAATGCCCTGCCACAGAGGCAGGGTGGGATAGTGGGGATAGGGAGTGGGAGGGATACTGAAATCATTGGTGGTGGAGAATGGGCACTGGTGGAGGGATGAGTACTCGATCATTGTATAACTGAAACCCAAGCACAAAAATTTGTAAGTCTACAACTGTACCTCATGGTGTTTCACTAATAAAAATTTTTAAAAAATGATGATACCCTTACAAAATATTTCATAATAAAAAAATTGTACCATGAGGTAAGATGCTGCAGTTTTTCTTCTTCGTTTTTGTTGCAAAGAGGTAGTTGGAAGTACAATATTTTTTTTAAAAAAATGACTTTTCTCGATTCCTTGGGGCTGAAGCAATAGTACGGCAAACAAACCATAATGCCCAAAACTAGAAAGAGAATATGGAGGAAATTGTCTGGCATAGAGGCAGGGGGAGGGTTGAGGTGACGGGGGCGTAATACTGCAGACATTAGTGTTGGAAACTGCACTGGTGGAGGGATGGGTGTTCAATCATTGCGTGACTGAAACTCAAACATGAAACCCTTTTAACTGCATCTCACGGTGATTCAATAAAAAAAAAGAAATAGTACAGCAGGCAGGGCATTTGTCTTGTATTTGGTCAACCTGGGTTTGATTCCTGACATCCCATATGGTCTCCTGAGCACCACCAGGAATAAGTCCTGAGTCCATAGCCAGGAGTAACCCCTAAGCATTGTCAGGTGTAGTCCCAAAACCAAAATAAGTAAATATAAAAATGACTTTCTTCAATTCTTCACACAGTTTATTACTCTTCTTACATAACATATATGAAGAACTTAGTTTTAGTATGTCAACCTGACTTCCATACCTGTTTCTTTGCTCAGTTCTGACAGAATGTCCTGGTACATCGTCACCATCTGATCACAGTGAGTGAGGACATTTTTCCGTAGATTGTCCCAGTGTGGAGAAAGCTCACCAAGTTCTTTCAATTCTTGATTTCTGTGAAGAACGGGAAAGAGGAGAAATTACTAATTTTGACTTCAAATCTATACGCAATACAGAAATCAATGCAGAATCAAAACACCAATAAGATTCTTCACCACCCACTTCTTGAAGTACCTGAATGCTTATTCGGTGAAAAAAAAGTCAACACAAAGGAAGACAACAGCTCAGACTATACAATTATTAAACATTTTATGTGCCATAGAGAAGAAAGTACAGTTCAAATAAGTGATAAAAATGTCACAATGACAGCATACAGAGGGGGCATTCAGTTAAAAGTCAGGCACTAGGTTTTTGGTGGCAATTATGATTCAGTATATATATTTACCAAAATATAATGCTATACCTATATAATGATACAAACTTATGTAAGATGTTAAGCAAATATTACCTCATTAAGAAAAAAACACTTAAATTTCAGTGACAAAATAAGTTATGGGCTTTGGTTATCCAAAAGAAAATAATATGGGAGGAATTATTTGATAGTTTCTAAAGAGGGTAAAAAGGTAAAGGTAAAGGCCCTCCCGTTGATCGTCGATTTGCTCGAGCGGGCCCAGTAACGTCTCCATTGGAGACTCTGTTGTTACTGTGTCTGGCACATCGAATACTCTCGGTAGCTTGCCGGGCTCTCCGAGAGGGGCGGAGGAATCGAACTCGGGTCGGCCATGTTGGCCGCTTGTAAGGCGAACGCCCTACCGCTGTGCTATCAAAATATTTAGGCTATCTAATTTAAATATAATACAAATGAAATTGGGCTGGAGCGATAGCACAGCGGGTAGGGCGTTTACCTTGTAAGCGGCCAACATGGTCAACCCGAGTTCAATTCCTCTGCCCCTCTCAGAGAGCCCGGCAAGCTACTGAGAATATCTCGCCCTCACGGCAAAGCCTGGCAAGCTACTTGTGACATATTTGATACTGCCAAACACAGTAACAATTGTCACAATGGAGACGTTACTGGGCCCGCTCGGCAAATCAATGAACAACAGGAGGACAGTGACAGTGATAGATGAAATTTATTTTTAATAAAATCCATAAGCACTATGAAAGGTATGATTTAGGGGGGGTTAGTTTCACTTAAGTATATAAGTAAATATTATACACATATGTTTTGTCCCTTCTTTATCTAAATGAAGAACTAATCAAGCCATTTCAGCTTTAATTATTACCTTTTATCCGATTCTCTACCCTTTAGCCAAGTTACTTTAAATCATCCAAATGCCTTTTTAAATTATAATGATAAATGATCTAATATGCTGCTTGGTTAGATATCTTATTCATTTCTGTAACCTTTTACCAACAACATTTTCATGAGGCTAATTTAACCAGCAATAATGAAACTTCTTTGCTATTTTGGCTGTTAAACATGCTAAATACCAAGCTAATAAATCCAGAAGATGTAGAATCTTTAACATTCTGTTCCCTGCAAGAATAATGGATGCCCTGCAAAATTGTGCTTTCAAATGTGCAGAGCCGCCTTTTTTTTTCTGTCAGCAGAAATGCAGTGTAATAAGGCTGAAACTTCAATCTAAGATCCTCCCCACTAATACCATCCTCAATATTTCCACAGACTATTTTTTTTACAGTTACAAAGCTTTTATGTTTGAGTTTCAGTATGCAATGATCAAATACCCATCCCTCCATCAGTGCACATTCTCTACCACCAATGTCCCCAGTATCTGCCCCGACCTTTCCAACCTTGCCCCTGCCTCTATGGCAGACAATCCCCCCCACCCCATTTCTCTCTCTACTCTTGGGTATTATGGTTTGCAATACAGATGCTGAGAGGCTGTCACATTTGGTCCTTTATCTACTTTCAGCACACATCTCCCAACTCAAACGATCCCTCCAATCATCATTGTCTTAGTGATCCCTTCTCTATTCCAGCTGCCTTCTCCCCCAGCTCATGAGACAGGGTTCCGACTATGGGGCTACTGTCCATAGACTAGTTTTTGACAGCACAACATTCCTATATATTTCCATGGACTTTTTTTTACCATACAACATTCATGATAATGAATGAATAGACCGAAGAGGGAGGATGGTTAAAGGAACTCCCTGCGGAGATAGGCATTATAGGCCCATACAAATGGCAGGGTATTTGCCTGATGAAGCAATTCCAAACTTGTGAGATATCCAACCCCGGAAGGACTCCTGTGATTGGGTCACATCTGAGGTAGTCATCAAGTGTGACAGATCACCTGATAGAGTTTAAGGTATACTCCTTGTTGTAATGGGGAATATTAACAGCATATTTTGTTTATTCCTACAAATGTGCCACAGATGTACAAATTATGTTTTCTGAATCTTTGCCAGAAAGAATACTTTAGGGAAAATGAAAGGAAAGATGATTTCCCTGTTTGTGGGAGGCCACATTCTTGTATCCACTTGACACACTCCGGTTCCCAACTACTGTAGTATACACACACACACACACACACACACACACGTGCGCGCGCGCGCGCGCGCGCACACGCATACACACACCACACGAATGGTTGATGGCTAGTTGTACATCAAAGTCTTAATAATAGGTTAATCATAAATGTAGCTTAAATCCAAAATTATTTATGTACATAAATACAAAAGTGTGCGTCTTTGTGTGATACTGTAGATATCCACCATTACTTATCTTTGTAACAACGTGTTAAAGGTGGAGAGGCCACATGTGCTGCCCCTTTGAAGTCATTATTCTAACGACATTCTCATGTTTTTCATTTTCAAAATAGCTTATTAGATGTTCTAAGTTACAGAATACCTCAATTGGTGTAACTTTCGGATATACTTAAAGAAAAGAGCAACTATACGCTCATGGAATATTATCTACTAGAAGGAATTTCAGAGAGTAATCTGAAACCTTTTATTTAGATGGAGGCATCTAAATAAAACAGTGTGAGCCTCATAGGCATGGGAGAACCCAGGCTTTAGCTCCATCCTATGTCCACATTATCCTCACTCTACATATATCTCCCATTAAAGACAAAGAATCAGAAAACAAACACAGTAACACAAAACATAATGTCTTGTTTACTGAAGGCACTTAGTGAACAAATGCCAAAGAGTGGGGATTTAAAAACTGGGTTATTCTAGAATAATAAATATACTTTGAAATTAAACCTGAACAAAATATGTTACAGTTTGATGCTTTATCTTTTGAATCTTTTAGTGCAACCAGCATGATTTCTGGATATGCAGTGCATGATAACAAATTTTCTCAAATACATTCAAGTGCATCCTGACATCCACTCTGATGAGCCCAAGATACTGGGGTCCTGTAGTACATTCTCTGCACGCTGCCTCATTTATCTGCACAGAAATCTGGCTTTACAATGTAACTGAATGGAGTGGTGAAGGAGAGGAGCTGGATAAACACATTATTAATCCATTGAAAAATATTCTAAATAGCCTTTTCCCACGTATTACTATTCCCATTTTACACACAACAACAACAGCTCCTGCTTTGAAAAGCTTTCTCTCTCAACTGCTACCTGACAACAATAGCACTGAAAATTTCTTCCTGAAAAGTAAACTCGCCTCCCTAAATACATGCAGTCTCTTAGGAATGCAGTGCTTTAGTCTCATTAGAGTTCGATCTCTCCCATAAATGCTCCTTTCTCTCTCCCACGTCTTTTCATTCTACCCAGAGGTAGACACAAAAGGTTGGGAATTAAAGACTCATCATTAAAATATTAATAAGCTTAGATCCTTTACACATTACGTATTTTTGGGGGGTGGGCATTTAACGGCCACCCACCCTCTTTCCATTTGCTACCTCTGAAAGAAAAGAACACCGTATGAAATGGTCTCCAAGGAGACAGGTGATTGCTGAGAAATACCCAGTGCTCTCTGGATCTTGGCATTTCAACTGCAAAGCATGACATTCTTCATACTTGATGAAATATTCATACACATCTCTGGAAATAACCTTATGGCATACTCTCTGTCTGCCTGGCTGTTTTTTCTTACCTTGTTTAATTATTTCAAAAACATATGCCTTTTCACTTCAGTAAAGTTGTGAATTTCTAGAGGTTATTCTGAGTCTCTGGACTTTCCAAGATGTGGAGCCACTATGAAATATTATGTTTGAAATATAAACTATTGAACAAATGATGAGAAAATTCGTTTCAAAAAAATCCTCAAAGGCATGGAGGGAAAATGGTTAAACACAGAGACACAGAGAAACTAGAAGGAAAAATATCCCAACTTGCTTTAGAGATTACACATGAGTAGGTGGTGGTGTGTGGTGACTTTTTACATCAATGCTATGAACTCAAACACAATGGTAACCATATTACCTAAATGATAATAAAAATTTTAAATAATAAAGTGTCCATATATAATGCATAAAACATTGGAAAGAATATAAAATAGATAAGTGGCTATTAAATTTTATACCCAGAAGCTGTTATGGCTGCAGGAATAACAGAGGGTGTTACATGAAAAGAAAATCAAGTAAGGGACAGTAACTGACCCTTTTCTTCACTCCAGATACCCTCTTGCTCCAACTGAATTTCTTTAACAAATGAGGGAGTTTTGTATACAATCCTGCTAATAAAAATAATTTCTTCTGTAAAGCTTTAAAAAGTACATTAAAGATAAACAGAACATAGTGAGAGAAGGGTAAAGTTGAGTTTTTATGTAAATATTCTCTTTCAAACATAGTTTTAAAGCTCTCATAATGACGTATTCAGTGGGGAGTTTCAAGCGGGGAAATTTGCTCTGAGGCTGTGTTAGAGTGGCAGTCTTTATTTTATTTTTCCCTAACTAATCTTGAGCCCCTGGGGAACCTGTGGTATATGTTCCTTGACTGACTGAATTAAATGTTTGCTTGAATATTGTTGTTTTTAGATTTTCCTAAAATTTGAGATGAACTTAGAACATAAACCGACCCACCAAATTATTGAGCAGTGTGCCAATTAAAATGGTGAAGTACAATAGAGGTAGCAGACAGGCTGAACTCACTGTCCTTGTATGACCTGTCAGGAATCCCAGAATGTTCC